TGGCGTTGGGGGGGGTTGTATGTTTTTTTTCTTTTTGGGGGGGGGGGGGGGGGGGGGGTAGGGCTTTAAAACAACCAACTAAAGGACTGAATCTACTGAGTCAGGTTGTTCATGCTTAATACAGTGTATTATCATTTCTATGGAACTACAACAAAAAGATGTACATCTCTATTGCATGCTTGACAATGAAATCTTTATGTAAATACAATTTATGATGAAAAGAAAATGCAAAATCATTTCTGTTATAAAGTAGAATGGCAGTAATATGTCTCAAGCAAAAGTTCATACCTACATTGTTTTTGATATTATTGATGTAACAGTTGATTTTTATAAGTATTTGTAATGTTGGCTTTAGGTTGTGAAGGCTACATATATATACATCTTAGCGTTCTAAAAAAATTGATCTTTTACTGTAGTTTTGTTCCTTGGGTGTGTGTGATATATATTATGACATCATCAGTGCTCTATTGCCACAACAGTATTAGGGATTGCAAAATTATTTTGAAAAATGTAATACCCTTTGTGCCTTTGGTTTTTTGTAAATCAATATATATATGACATTATTGCAAATATTTGGTCATCTTAGATGCTTTATAGTATGATATAGGATAATGAAGCACAGAGTGTGAGAAGCTTCTGTAAGTTCCACTGTAATTTCAGTAATGTGCTTGTACACTATTATATCCCGGCAGATTTTGAATGTGCTAGCAAGTTTTCTTTCTGAGCTTGTGCTTCAATATGTGCAATTTTTGAAAATAAATAAATAAATCATTTGAAATCAAATGAAATGAGCTTTGCTATGCCATCAGTTGTACCTTGCTTGTATAGTATTACCTGTATATTTGAAAATTATATTGTCAATAAATTGAACTAAGAATCAGTGTTTGAGATGAGTCATGTTCTGTTCAGAGATGTCAGTTATGAGGTTTTCATCCATCATGACTGCGATTTGTCTGAAAAATCATACAAGACAACAAAGCCAGATGAAAGAAGCGTAACCACGTACCAAAGGCAGTATCGCTATGGCAACTTATTGCGCATCTTATAGCCTAAATTAAACGGCAAGAGACACATTCTCTTTTTCCACACCTTTAATGCTTGTCAGTAATGAAGAGAACATCTCAGGATGACATGATGATGAGGGCTTGAAATCAATGAACACTGCGTCTAGCTTTAATTGAGAAAAAAATAGATTTTCTTTCTGTAAACTTGTGATATTTTTTATGAAACATTATGGAATTAATATAAAACATCCATTTAAGATTATATAAATGTTTAATTAATCAAAATATATTCTAGTTTTCCCACTCTGATTTAATTGACTTTCCTTCTTTCATGAAACACCAAAAGAGATATTTAGTAGTACAAATGCTCATTTCCAAATACACTATAAGTGGATAAGAACCATTCTGCTAAATTCCTCACTTTGGAACGACGTGAAGATGAATAAATGATGACAGAATTGATATTTTTGAACAATCCTTGTAAAGGTGCATTCAATATTTATCATTCACCATGCTTTGTTAATCTTGAAATGATGGTAGGCTTCAAGGAACAGAAAATTACAGGGTTTTTTTGTTTGTTTTTGTTTTTTACAGAGTTGTCCAGTACCTTGTCGGATTATGTGCACATCAACACTTTTTAGAGACAGTTCTATCAGTACTCAGTTAAATCTAGCTCTTGGTAAGTCTGATGAAGTGTTAACGTTGCCATAGTAGACATGGATAAACATAGGCTTCAAGGTCACTCTGTGAGATTGTGAAACATCTGTTTGTCAGAACAGCTCTAGTGAAGGAACATGTTCAATTCATTTCCATGGAATCTGTGAGGTGTGTAATTACTATATATTCTGAGAGAAAATGACTTGTCTGTGTTTACACTCTCCATCATTTTTTTGAATTGAAATGGGGTAATTCACATCATTGTGGTTATATCAACATGAAAGTTAATATGTACCTGAATGTTGCTAAAAAATAAAATTAAAAAAATATTTTTTGAATGCAACAGTCAGATTTCTCAGGTTATCTACAGTAAATAAAAAATAATTAATTCGTTAATAAATAGTTAACTGAAATTAAAAACCCATTGATCAAAATATTTTATTTTCAAAAAAATACAAATACAAAATACAAAAAAAGAAGAAGATCAATCATGATCATATAATTTCAATCATTAAATATATCAACCTGATAATAGTAAGCCAATGGTAGCAATAATTAATATATGTTTAGATACATTATATGAACAATTAATGTAGGTAATCCATTTATTTATTCGTTGGTCTCCCTATATTGGCTGGTTTAAAAAATATGTGAGGAAACAATTTCAAGGGGGGGGGGGGAAATTAGACGAAAGAGAAACATATACAGCAATAGCCTACATAAGATGAACTGAATTTAGGGAATTTCTAAAGCTTTACCAGTGGGAACCAACAGAAAAATAGCATACTGCTCAGTAGTGACTTTTATTATGGTGTGTATTCTACGACCGTCCGGAACATGCTTACTGTGATCAGTATTTAAGTACCGTAACAAAGCAAATAAATATCAGTCCCGTTTAAAAATGAACCGCATTTTCGGTCGGAGCAAACAAACGCCTACTCCTAACCTTTCTGACTGCATAGGCAATGTAAGTAGGCTAGTGTATTGTTGTGACTGTCTCACGGAACATGAGTGCAGCATCCTGATTGGTGTTTGCATGTCAGACATGGATGTACTGTGGATGCTGTGTGCTGTTCCCGTTATAGGTGGATACGAGGATCGAGTCAGTCGATAAGAAAATAGCGAGAATCGACGCAGAGCTAATCAAGTATAAGGACCAGATGAAAAAGATGAGGGATGGACCCTCAAAAGTGAGCATCAGAGACTGGAGTTGATATCATGTCAACATGCAATAATGCTGCAGTCTCTCATTCTGTCTACACGGGCAGCTGTGCAGTGAGATCCAAAAGTCTGTTTTGCCTTTTCAATACATTTTTTTTTTAATTAAAAGGAATATTATCAACATTATCAACAACTTGTGAATCAAATTTAATTTTTAATTGAAAAATTAACATGAATGACTTAGTTTTGTTAGTCCTCCCTTTGATAGCAGCAATCGAGCCAGTGTAAATAAAGACAATATTACAGTTCATTAATATTTTGATTTTTTTTAAATATATTTTAGTTCAGGTAAAATTCATTTGGTTTTTGTCATTTTTATTAATTTTTTTATAATTATTTTTTATTTTACTTTTAGTTATCTTAGTAACATAATGTATTTAAACGAAATGAAAATGAGAAATGTTGCCAAATACATAGATATATACAGTATCTCACAGAAGTGAGTACACCCCTCACATTTTTACTGTATGTTCTTGGCCACCGTGCTGCAGCTCAATTTCAGGGTCTTGGCAATCTTCTTATAGCCTATGCCATCTTTATGTAGAGCAACAATTCTTTTTTTCAGATCCTCAGAGAGTTCTTTGCCACGAGGTGCCATGTTGAACTTCCAGTGACCAGTATGAGAGAGTGAGAGCGATAACACCAAATTTAACACACCTGCTCCCCATTCACACCTGAGACCTTGTAACACTAATGAGTCACATGACACCGGGGAGAGAAAATGGCTAATTGGGCCCAATTTGGACATTTTCACTTAGGGGTGTACTCACTTTTGTGGCCAGCGGTTTAGACATTAATGGCTGTGTGTTGAGTTATTTTGAGGGGGCAGTAAATTTACACTGTTATACAAGCTGTACACTCACTACTTTACATTGTAGCAAAGTGTCATTTCTTCAGTGTTGTCACATGAAAAGATATAATAAAATATTTACAAAAATGTGAGGGGTGTACTCACTTCTGTGAGATACTGTATATATAATTTATGTATACAATATATATATAATTTCAGCTACAATTTCTCATTATATATATTATATTTCAGCTTAATGAACTCCACAAGTTTATGTAAAAGCTGATGATCCATAGATCACCTTGTGTATCATCTGACCTTGAGAATTTCACAAGTTCACAAATCTACTTTATTTATTTTTGGGGGATTTTGAATCCCAGATTTTCAATGTGGTTTAAATTTTTTTTTATCATACACAGTTCTGTAAGTGTGAGATGAACAATCTGTTTACAGAATGCAGTGAAACAGAAGGCGATGAGAGTACTAAAACAAAAGAGAATGTGAGTTTATCCCTGTACTAATATTCATTTGTAATGTGTGAAATGTTTATTTCAATATCTAAGATTATGTTTCCATTTCACGTTTAAAAAGGAGGAAAATATTTTATAATAATAATGTTAAATTATGTTTTTGCTTTTCTTTTCTCTGTATTATGCAGGTATGAAGGTCAAAGAGATCAGCTTTCCCAGCAGTCATTTAATATGGAACAAGCCAACTATACTATCCAGTCTTTGAGGGACACCAAAACAACAGTAAAGTTTTGTTATTTAACTTTACAGCTGTCCATATTATTCTCAGCACTATTGTATATATTTTTTTAATTTCATTTTTTAATTCATAAAATGTTTATTTATTTATTTATTTTTGAGATCCCACTTCTTCTTATGTGGTATTTTCCTAATAAAATAAATAAATGCAATAATATATAGTCCCCCCCCCCCCCCCCCCCCCATATTTATTTGTTAAAAGTAAATTTGGTCAACATTTGGAAGTTCATACCATATAAATCACCTCAAAACTAACACTGACTGAACAAAAAGCACAAAACTCTCACTTTGATTTCATGGGGTCCTCAAGAGATTCAGCTTTTACAAAAGGTCCACTATCTCATGTAGTGGTGCTCCACAATTTGAGAAAAATCATGTTTCTATTTAGAAAATAGTGAGGTCTGAATGAGATATTTAATGGCAGTAAGAGAGACACTATTGTGTTTAAGAAGAATATATACCCCCCCCCCCCCCCCACATATTTTCTAAAACAATTTATTTCTAAACTTTCTAAAATGTCATTCTGTTTTGCTGGTGTCCATATTCTCCCCAGCATTATTGGATTTTTAATTTAATTTAATTTATTCATTCATATTTATTCATTTTAACTGTTAGATTCTACAGATGTTTTATTCTTTTGTAGGTGGAGGCTATGAAGATTGGAGCAAAAGAAATGAAGAAAGCATATAAACAAGTGAAGATGGATCAGATTGAAGTATATACACTTACCATTTTGATATCAGCTGTTTTTAAGCAATATTTTTGATGAATGATCAGTGGTAAATAATGTACACTTTTCATTACCAATCTTTGTGACTGATAGGACCTGCAGGATCAACTGGAGGACATGACGGAAGAGGCTAACGAGGTGCAGGAAGCTCTCAGTCGCAGCTATGGTACACCAGAGATCGATGAGGATGAGCTAGAAGCAGGTGTGTGTGTGTGTGTGTGTGTGTGCGTGTGTGTGTGTGCGTGTGTGTGTGTGTGTGTGTGTGTGTGTGTGTGTGTGGAGCTGAGAGCCTCACTTTTTTCTCTGTTGCAGAGCTGGATGCTCTGGGAGATGAGTTACTGCTGGATGATGACAGCTCTTACTTAGATGAAGCCTCGTCTGCACCCTGCATTCCTGAAGGAATGCCCAGTGACACTAAAACCAATAAGGTGCAGATTACATAGATAAAATTGTCAATGACAAAATATTCATATTACTTATCATTTGTTATTATTTGTCTTTGTGATTTATTCAGTGCATATTTGTATTTGTATCTCTCAGGATGGAGTTCTGGTCGATGAGTTTGGCCTACCACAGATCCCTGCCACATAAGAATCTGTTCTCTGATCAGTGTTTTGTTTACTGGTGGAGGACGTTTTTCTTGTGCTGATGGTATTGAACATGTTGTGTTGTATTCATTGCCCAGTCTAGCACACGGTATTGTACATGAAGCGTGATTTTCCGGTTTTATTTAGAATTTGATCATGTAAACATGTTCGCCTGATTTCCATAACCCAGTAAATTCCGACGAGATTACAGTTTTTAGATATCCAATTTAAACTCCTGGCATATCCTTTAGTAATCAGAATTTTGGATCACCTACTTTCCCTTGTATCTGAACATAACTTTTTATTAATGCATGTCCAAGCAAAAATAGTTTTGGATGATAACTTTGGAAATACAAACAGTTTGGGAAAGCCGAGTTATTGAATAAACGTATTTATTTATTTTAACAAAAAATTACAAACATAAACTCACTCTTGAGTGTTGTTACATATAAACTCCTATTATTATTATTAATTTTATATTTCTATGCTCTTGTTAAGACGAAGTGTGTATTGCATCACTCTGAACTCTGAAGCTGGTTGAAATGTTGACAGAATTATTGTTGACACTGATTAAATATTTCAAGTCCATCGTTCTGGGTAGCATTAGCATGAATGAAGAACTTGCGTCGAGCAGTCATGAACTAGTCCCAACAAAATGACCTGGTTTTTCTGATAACAAACTTCATTAATGAATTGAATATGCATCAAGATGTGAAATATTCTGAAATGTGAAATGCATCACTGGAGTCTATGAGAGATGCAATAAATGGTGGTATTTGAAAACATTTTTGTGGAACCATTGGGCTATTCATGCAGCAATAACACATTTCAGAGGAAAGACAGATTGAGCAAGAGGTATTGCACAGTCACATTATTTACAAGATTAGCTGCTACAAAAAAACATACATAGAAATTTTTTTATGTATTTTTTTTGTTCGTTCCAAGAGGTTTATGTATAGCCCACTTTTTCCTGCGTATATGGTATTTTCCTAATAAAATGAATAACGATTGCATAATGTAGATTTTTTTTTTTTGCATTCCAAAATGACATTCTTCCAAAAATAAAAAAATAAATAGAAATCCACACACCCCGGTTTTCTAAATCCTTCCGAATTATTCTTGAGTAAATACATATGTATTTTTTTTGTTCGTTCCAAGAGGTTTATGTATAGCCCACTTTTTCCTGCGTATATGGTATTTTCCTAATAAAATGAATAACGATTGCATAATGTAGATTTTTTTTTTTGCATTCCAAAATGACATTCTTCCAAAAATAAAAAAATAAATAGAAATCCACACACCCCGGTTTTCTAAATCCTTCCGAATTATTCTTGAGTAAATACAATAATCCAGAAGGACCGATGGATGAGGCGCAGAAAAGGGGCGTGGCGTACACACTCGCGTCATTTCCGGTTGCATGTGTACACACTGTAAAGTTGTGAAGCGTTAGCTAATAGTGTGCCGGTATGGCGGAGAACACTATGACAGTGACAGTTGCTTGTGGTAAAGATAACTGACCACCATTTTACATTTTAAAACGTTAAGATATATCGAAAAAAAATGTAGTCGGTATTTTTTATTGAGGCTTTATACGGTTCGACAGTTTTGAAGCTAGCTACCTGTAAATGATCTGAACATCCCTCTAAACCACAGGCGTTTATTTCAATATTAGTTACATCTAATTACGGCTAGTTAAGTGGTAAATGTCAATGCTGGATTTGCAGATACAGTGCCGGTTAGCTCTCTGAATAATTTTGAGTATTAAACCTCTCTTGTTGTCTCAGGCACAACCAAACACAACATCACTTTAACAGCACAGGATGGACATGAAGCACTGTTAAAGGATTTGTGTGAGGCGCTGACAGAAGCCACGGGAGTACCAATACCATCCCAGAAAGTCATATTTAAAGGTAATACAGTATATACTCTGCTTCAGGCACATCTGTTTCTCAGCTTACTGTGTTATACTTACTCAGCTGTAAATGGTCACCTGTGTTTTGGGTATAAACTACAGTAATTATCACTTGTTGAACTCAACAGAACAATGCAGTGTTTGAAATAAAAGCATCATTAATCTGTGCCAGTGCAACAGTAACAGTGTATTGTTGAATGCAAGAATATCTGGAATTGTCTCTAGAATTGTAACGTTATGTTGTTCTGGCTGTAGGGAAATCACTGAAGGAGATGGAGGAGCCTCTGTCCAGCTTTGGAATAAAGCAGGGTTGTAAACTGATGATGATTGGAAAGAGGGTAAGATGTGTCATTCATTAATTCAAACAGATAGAACTGCAATTATTTCCGAGTCTGACAAGCTGCTTTATTTTTACAGAACAGCCCTGAGGAGGAAGTTGAGCTTAAAAAGCTCAAAGACATTGAAAAGTCAGTGGAACAAACTGCCAGGAAGCTTGAGAAGGTGGATGGTGAACTCACAGGACTGAAGAATGTATGTGTGACAGGGATAACAATCTCTTTATTTTTCTTCTTGAACACTGTACTTGTTATAAGAGGCTTGGCAATATGGTCATTTTATAATTAAATGAATTATTTTCAGGGTTTTCTTGCAAAAGAGTTGCAAGCTGAGGCTCTTAACAAACTGGACCACAGGGTGAAAGTTGCCGCTGAGCAGTTTATGAAAATCCTAGAGGAAATCGATGGAATGGTAATTGTTATTCATTGTTGTTATATTGTTTCTTAAAGTTATCACGAAATGAAAATCTATTTTGTAAATGCATGTGAACTTACTATTAAAGACTTATTCATGCATGTTTAATTTTTAATTTTCACCTTGTAATTTTTAATCAAAATATTATAACTCAGCCTTCCGGTGAAATGACAGTCTTATCTCTTGTGACGTATGTTGGACTTCTCCAATCATTTAGTCGATTAAACCCTGCCCCTTCACAATCGACTCCAAGCTGACATTCACATCTCAAAATCCAATCAACAACTGATGGATAAAATTTTGTTCTTTTTCCGATAATCTGTTACGCTCAGATGTGCGACACAGTAAGGATGATAAGATCTGTTGTTTCACTGTGAACTGATTATTTTTATCATTATTATTTATATATTTTTGTTCCTTAAATTACAGTATATTGGATATAGTTAAATACCGTTGCTCGGTAAAGCTTATCTGTGCCTTTTTATATTGATTATTTACAGAACTTGCCTGAGAGTTTTAGTGATTGCAGGATGAAGAAAAAAGGACTTGAGAAAACTGTTCAGGTACGATTATGACTTATTAAAGGAATAGTTCACCCCAAAATTAAAACGTGCTGAAAATGTACACACCCTCAGGCCATCCAAGATGGAGATGAGTTTGTTCACTTGCATTGGATCCTCTCCATGGAATGGGTGCCGTCAGTATGAGTCCAAACAGCGGATAAATACATCACAATAATCCACAAGTAATCAACACGACTCCAAGTGAAAAGCTGCGTGTTTGTAAGAAACAAATCCATCAAGGCATTTTAACTTTAAACCGTCACTTCTGGCCAAAATACCAGTCTATAATCCATCCAGTGAAAAAGTCCATCCCATGTTGTCCTCTCACATCAAAATCAACCAACATATTTCGTTTTGGACAGTTTTCGCTTGTAAGCAGTGCATGATATGTGTATATTTCTCTTATGATTCAGACTAGATGAATTTTTCACTGGCGAATGGAAAATTATTTGTATTTTAGCAGGAAGCAATGGTTTCAAGTTGAAAACTTTCTAATCTGCATTTTGCTAAACAAAATGGATTACTGTGATGTTTTTATCAGCTGTTTGGACTTTCATTCTGATGGCACCCATTCACTGCAGAGGACCATTGGTGAGCAAGTGATGTAATGAAAAAATTCTCCAAATCTGTTCCGATGAAGAAATAAAATTACACCTTGGATGGCCTGAGGGTGAGTAAATGTAAATTTTTAGGTGACCTATTCCTTTAATATTGGGTTTTAATTAAGCACCTTAGACTTAAACATACCCATGGCCATTATTTGATTTCTTAAATATTGTTCTCTTTATTTTCCTCATACTCAGGGTTTCTTAGCACAGTGTGACAAAATTGAAGCTGGAATATCAGACCACTTGGCTAAGATTCAGACAAAAAACTTAGCCTTGGCAGAATGATCATGAATTAAGACTCCTGACATCAGTAGTTACTGGTGCTGCAAATGAAGAACCTCATGGAGAGCTTTGGCACTGGAGGTGCAGTTGGCCTACACCCCACAACCTACACATGCACCTGTTATACAGAGAAGAACAGGCAGCATTCGAAACATTTTGAAATAGTTTTCTTATGAGTTTAGATTTTTCATGCTAATTGTTGAAAATACTTATGGCTAGGTTTAGGGAGTTTTGACCATCTGGACCGCACTGTTCTCTCTTTAAACTTTATTTAGCCTGACAGATGTAATCTTATTTTGATCAAAGAGGGGAAAAAACGATGCTGGAAGAATATCCTTTTAAAGGATCGAACATAAATAAATGATCAAATTCAATAAATCGATTTTGTGCTGTAAAAATGTTCTATTTATGAAAAGAGTGAACTTGTGCGAAGCAAAAGATTGTAGAATTGATAGTCCTTGTTTTGTTTTTATCATGATTAAATCTCAGGGTGCTTCAAACCACTGGTGGTTTTCCCCATCAATTTCTGTTTCAAATGTTGTTGTCAAGTTATTGAGAGAAATTAAACATTTGAAGACAACTTTTGTGGCGTCTCAGTCAATCTTTGGCAATTTGTCCTGTTCTGTACAGTTCTAAATCTACTAGGTTTCAATGATATTATGAATTAAAATACTAAAATCCTGTTTTTTAAGTGTAAAGAAATGTTGAGAGAAACTCTAAACTGACTTTTTCGTAAAATGTCCCACATTCTGTAATGAAAACTTGATGGCTTATTTCAAATTGTTTCTTACAAGTGTAAACATCCAGCAACTCCAGGCTACATTGAATAATTCCAGAATTTATTTCTCAACATTTACATACCAGAACTGCATTCATTCACTTTGAGGTTTACCACAGATTACATGTCTATGTATTTCATAGTTATGTACAAGCCTACGTAGACTGTTTAAGAGTACAGTCCAGTACAGTCAAATGATTTTGCCTTGCTGATTAATGTATCCCTTTGCACTATCCCGTGAATGTGGGGAAAAGAATACAGTTAAACATGTTGTAGTGTTACAGTGTAGTTTTCATTAGTTTCAGTAGTGCTAGGCCTTGTCCTAATCATCCTTATCTTTAGCACCATGTTTCAGTATGCGAGTGAATTCTACGTAGTTGAAGTTCCCCTTCTTGTCAATAGGGGCCTCTCTAAACAACTCATCTACTTCTTCATCTGTGAACCTGTCTCCCATAGTGGTCAAGAGCTCCCTCAGGTAGTCCTCCTGAATAAAACCTAGGACAAATGAGGCAAACTGGTTATCAACACTGAAAATAACTTAACAAATGTTTATCAAATACATCATATATTCATCTAATTTTGGTCATTCAGACAGACTAATTATGCAGATCACCAGTCTTAATTGCTATTTTATTTAAGTGTTTTGATCATGCTTACCTGTCCCCTCCTCATCAAAACAAGCAAATGCATTTTTGATAACATCCTCAGGATCTGTGCCATTAAGTTTCTCTCCAAACATTGTGAGGAACATGGTGAAGTTAATGGGACCAGGGGCTTCATTCATCATCGCCTCGAGGTATTCATCTGTGGGGTTCTTACCTGCCAATGAAATAACCTGTCAGTCAAAAGCAGTTCTTATCTGATCAAATGTAGCTTTTAAAGAGACAGCTCACCCAAAAATGAAAATTCTGTCATCGTCACAAAACCTGTACAAGTTTCTTTATTCTGTTGAGCACAAAAGAAGATATTTTGAAGAATGTTGGTAATCAAACAGTTTACAGTAGCCACTGACTTCCATAGTATAGAAAACAGTACCATGGAAGTCAAAGGGGACCATCAACCGCTCAAAGCATATTCTTTCGTGTTCAGCAGAAGAAACTCATACAGCTGAAAAAAAAAGGAATGCCATAAAACTCTCTAAATGACAATGGCAATATATGGCTTTTGTGAAGATTAAAAAAAAGCTTGTATCTGATTAAGACTCATCTTAACATTTCCTCTATAAAATTCTGTAAATACTATTAAAAATATAATATTAGTAAAAACTGAGTTTTATTTAGAGCTCAGTTCATGCTCATATTTTTTTTAAAGTATTCGTGAGAAAAAAAAGTGAAAGTGATGTCCTTTAGAAGGAAACTGGGTCATTAAGGGCCAAGGATAGAAGATAAAACCTTTCTGCATTGCCAGTTCTATATCGTCCTTACCTAATGAAGCCAACATATCATGCAGATCTTCCTTATCAATGAAGCCATCACGGTTCTGATCGATCATGTTAAAGGCCTCCTTGAATTCCTGGATCTGGGACTGGTCGAACATGGCAAACACGTTGGACGTGGCCCGCTGGGGGCGCTTTTTGGTGGTTTTCCCCTTAGCCCTTTTGCTAGACATTTTGACAATTCTGTCCTATTGAAACTAAAATAATAGAGACACATTGCTTGTTAGGCTTGCACATAAACTTTCAGCAAAGATTATACGAATACATGAGCTATTAAAAATAATGACCATATTGTCAACCACAATGAATTTTGCACAATTTTGAACAACATACTTTTAAGACAAACAGACCACTGTGTGTATAAGACTGTGGTTATGAGTTTGTTTAGCTAACTGCGTTAATATTAGCTGAGTAGCCCAATAACGTTAGCTAACTAGTCAACAACTGAGTAACTTAAATTCTTTAAAGCTGACGTTATGTTTATTTTGATACATAATTGCAGTTCCTTGGTCCACATTCAAACATACTGTCTTTGTAAAAGCACTAAGTTAATGGTCAATATTAATAAAGCTTGTTGTGTTGACAGGAAGCTGCTTAACAATTACAAATAACGTTAACCTAGCTAGCAACGGAGCTGGCTTGTTTGTAGTCTGTCGTGTGTAATACAAATCTAAAACTATAACGTCAGATAAAACGCATACTGATGCCGTAAATTTAGTAACATTTAACATACCTATTCCGGTAAAAAAAAGAAAAGAAAAAGGCAGGACACCTAAACAACGGCTGCCACGCTTGTTATTAACGCACCACAGGACCCCCCTGTAGATTAGTGCAATGGGAAAGTCCCGTCGACAGATCAGGGACTGGAATAGCCCATGACTTATCCTGTAGGGGTAGGTTCAAATGATCAAACAGGAAGAATGCCGAAATGACTGCTAAAATGAGTCAGTTGTTACAGTAAGGTAACGGGTGTGTTAATTGTATTATGGTTTCTATATATTAGCTAAGGTCAGTTTAATTCTACTTTAATTAAATCGATTTAGCTAAATTAAAATTTAAGTTGTTATCAATTTAATTAAAGTAATGGATTTTTTATATTACATAAAGCTAATTTATGTAATAATCAATACCATTTATATATCAGATATCAATATACTATCTGTTATAAAGTTAGTTTCGATCCTTAAATTGGAATGAACTCTGTTTTCTTTTGGAATTTTCCTTTGCCGGGAAAATATGAGAGTATTTATGAGATAAATAACCAACTGTGGTAAACACGCAAATTAAGATATTGTTTAATGGAATGTTTAAAATAAAAAAAACAATATAATTTCTGTTCTACGAGAGTTGATCACATGCTGCTCGAGGCCTATAACAGCAGTCTTGTGATATTTCTTTAATAAAATATTGTTGCGTTGCCTTTGTTGTTTAATTGTGTTTATAAATTGAATTACGCGCGTTGCCAAAGTTCACATGTTGAAACTGCCTGGCCAGTGGCCCTTAGTCAGGGTCTATATTTAACAGATCTAGTGGCCATACAAGGTCGTGGCTGGACGCTGCAATCTGCAGAGTGGCAGCATTATTTTTGTTCAGTGAAGTCTCGTCCTGTCGGCTGCCCCATCCCCGCCGCTGTGTCTGGATTTTCACTGGCTTCTCATTTTTTGGAGTTTGCCCCTTCTTCTTTCAACTTTGACTTGGTAAGTTACTTTGTATTTCTAATCGAGGCTAGCCCCCCCCCCAAAAGAATAATAATGTGTTACTCATCCAATTGTCTGTAACAGTTTAGTCTAAATGTATGAATTAGTTACCATCACAACAGACAAAACTATTTGCTCATATAATTGAATGGTGTCTGATATTATACTTTGAATAACTACTAGTAACAGTTTTGTAGGACTATATGTAGCCTATTTCATTCTTGCTGTTGTGATATCAAGTCATTTAAATTATTTATGTCATTTTCACTTGAACAAGAATGTGCTTGTTACCATTTTGGAACAGTAAACAAAGATACATCGATAAATGTCTTGGATATGTGTGTTGGGCCACACAGTATTCCTGAAAAATACCTGAAAGCCAAAACTCGAATTTACACTCTCAAAAAGAAAACAAAAGTTCATAAAAAGTATGCATTCAGGCGTACAGCTTTTGACTGGGGACACCAATGTACCCCTGTACCCATCATCAATGTTTTTTTTTTCTCCCAGTGTACATTCATGATTACAATCGTAAGTGTTTAACATTCATTGGGAATTGTACTTGAGACTGCAAACGGAGAGAAAGGGGACCGTGGGCCGATCTAAAAAGCACTTCAGGATTTCAGAATCCTTAAAACTACAGAAGGAACAGCAGCAACGGGACCTTGAGACACACTATGAGAGCACCTATCACCAAGGCTCCCTGTCATCTGTTAGCCGCCAGTCTTATGCTGCTTATGTGAGCAGTCATGGGTAAGAGGACATAGGGGATATTGTCCCTGTGCTCATGCTGCCCTGAAGAATGGCCCCTATAGAGCAACCCACTCACAACAAGTGCTGCTTTTTATACCAGTGCTTTTATAACACATTCCATGCTGCTTACTTGAAAATGTGTGCATCATATGAAGTACCTACCATAACCCTTTCATTATAACCTTATGATGTTTGTTTGCTTTAAAATAGATCAACAAAGTACGCTAATGAACGCTAATGCATTTTCTTTCATTATCTGTTATCAGTTTCAGTTTGTGATGACCACAAATTATGTCAAAGCTTGGCGATTGCAGTGACAAAACAATAATCAAACCAATGACAACATAAATTCTAAAATCAAGTAATCTACAAAACAACTTTGTTTTTCTGTGGCGAATGCAGAGATATGTATTTTCATCTTTCTTATTTAAATATTTTTGAGTAAATAATCATTTGTGCTGTATGCAGATGCTGTTGTGTGCTGCAGTTTAACAAGCAAAAATATGTCCCTTTCTTTATAGAGAAATTGATTTTTAATGATCACGTATAAACCAATTTAAAGGGGTCATATGATGCTATTTTAAATATCATTATTTTGTGTATTTGGTGTAACAGAATATGTTGACATGCTTTAATGTTCAAAAAACACATTCTTTTTCAAATACTGTACATTATTGTAGGTCCTCTATGCCCTGCCTCTCTCAAACACGTAGTTTTCAACAAAGCCCCCTCCTTTGACAAGCACAGTCTGCTCTGATTGGCCAGCTGACCCAGTGCATTGTGATTGGCCGAACACCACAAGCATGCGTCGGAAATGTAACAACTCTTACCATAATGGCGAGCTTCAGCTTTCAAAGTAAATATCAAGACAGTTAATAATGTTAGTTTTACCATCAGTTCAAGCCCGAAAGGGCAACAAATCTTAACCAATGATTCCTCATTGCATCTACTTTCGGAAGGCCAAATAAAGTGCTTTTGCTTTTGCATTGAAACACACAGTCTCCCTGACATGGCTGCATCAATACTGCTGTTCCTGAAACCTCGCCTTCTTTCTTTGCGTGCACATTTGGGCTGCATTATGCTAATATCTCCACATAGTGACGTAGCAGCTAAAATTCGCTACATGGTTGACCCTTAACTTTTATAAAGAATATCTCTTTGGATTTGAGACTTTAGTCTTTGCAACTTTACAGATCTTCTTTATGCACCAAGAGATTGTAACACTCCAAAGAGAAAGGAAAAATTTAAATCGCATCATATGACCCCTTTAAACAATGATATACAGTATGCTTTTGTAGAAGCCTTAAGTCACTGTCATTTTAGTTTTTAAGGTGTAGTTTTTAAGGTGTTTATAGCCAAATTCCTGTTTAATAACTTAACTTCAGCATCACTTCACCAATCAGAGAAGTTACTGTTGCCATGGGAATGAATATTGCTTCTAAAGTGCTGAGCAGCGAACACCCACTCACGTGACACAAAGCAGATTTTCCCTATACTCTCAAACTGCTTATATATTTGTATATTGTATATATCTGTATCTGATTGTACAAACAGATGTGCTGCCTCACACTTACTTCATTAGTTGGGCAAATACAGCTGTCTGACTGATTCTCCCTTTGTTTACACTATAATTGGTTTGTAATGTTGGGATTTACCTCTTCGCTAGTTGATTTGGTTCATAATTTTTTTTTTTTTAAATCCTCATGAGAGCATGCATGGAAAAAAATACTTCTAAGAAATAAGCCAGCTGAGTGTGCGGTGGCTTTTGTGCTTGCTTGATGCTCATATGCATTGGTACTATGTTTATAAATGTTTAGGTCAGAATCCTTTGTTATAGAGGAACATATGTGCTGTTGAGGACTGCATGATGCCATGACCCTGTGGCTGGAAGTATTTGAGCCTCTGTGGGAGTGAGCCAAAGCTATTAATGGTTTTAGAGATTATTTATGGTCACTGAAATTTGAAATCACAGTAGTTGAGCTGGACTGTAACATAAACTGTACAAGTTAGTTCATTCAAAAATGAAAATGCTGCCATCATTTACTCACCCTTGTTTTTTTACAAGTCTGTATGATATTCTTTCTTTTGTGGGGCATAAAAGAAGACACTTTTGAAAGTCATACAGGCTTGCAATGACATAATGCTAAATGATGAAACAATTTAAATTTTTGTTGAGCTATCCGTTTAAGGTAGAACAGTATTGGTGCTCTCAGAAATCTGATATAGTCATATTATTTACTAGTTATGACAATTTAGTAGTATTTCTGATGGTTGTTATTTGTGCAGAAATTGCCACATGCACGCTTTGAATATGGCAAACCAAACCCTGATATGGTTAATATAATTTTTTAGAGTTGTCGAATATGTTCCTGACAGCAATTTTAATTTGTTTGCCTATAGTTGTTCAAGAGAACAATTTGCAAAACATGCATTTTGTATGATTGAAACAATCAGATGGATTGGAAGCCGCTGTAATCCCAAAATATTTTGTAACAGTCTAAGAGATAAAAGGATCAGCCTCTCAAATAGCAGACGGAGCTCTGTGTTTTATCTATAAATCAGTCCAAAGCCCATAATGCCGGTGGCAGTTGTGAGTGAGTGTTAGGATCATATGCATACTAAATGGATTATCTCCGGCTGACATGACATTTCACGTAATGTTTGTTTCCAGCTAGTCGTGATCTTTCTTGATCACTATTAACAAAATTTGCATTAAAAGATAAAAAAAAGTAATGTAGTATTACTTTTTTGGAATATTTTTGGTGTACTAATGAGGAATGTTGTAACATGGAGGATGTTCACATACACAGTAACAATATCCTGGAGTAATTTATATTGATTTAATTGCTTTAATAAGCTCAGTGCTGCTTATCTCAGGCTTTTTGAGTTGTTTTCTTAATAAATTCTTAATATAGTGGATGTCTCTGCTAATATTTACTTTCCACTAACACACTAAGATTGACTTTCAAGTGACTCTATTCCATCCTATTTCATTAACCCTGCTGAAATATTGAACATTTTGTTCCATTGGCATTAAGAAGATTTAAGGGGGAAAAAAATAATTCAACTGACTTTTTTTGGGATGGAATAATGGAAAAAAAGTATTTTCAGCCACATACAAAATCTTTGATGCATTTTGCCATATAATCCAACTGTTTGTTTGTTGGTGTTGTTGATGTTCACTGTTGTTTAGGCACAAGATTTCAAAGAAAGAGAAGAAACTGAGCGCTTTCTCTAAAAAAGAAAAGCGCTCGTACCTGGCTGTGGACAACGAAGATGAAATCATTGGATACGTTGTGCCAGTCTTCAGAAGCAGGTGATTGTATAGTTTACTCAATGGAGTTTTACATTTGATAATTACGTTTGATGTATAATGTCTGTTTGTGAATGTTCTGTTGATTAATCTAATCGATTAATTTTGGCACACGGAAGAAGACATGCCTTTTTTGATTTGAGCAAATGTAAACTTATAATTATTGTTACTTTGTATTTTTCATTATGAAACTATATATTTATTTGCCTAAATTGTATCTGTCCAATCAAATCACACCCTTTGCAGATCATTTGCTTTACACTGAAAAGAGAAAATTTAAATGTAATCGAGATACTATTATAGTTTTGAATTAGTATTAAAAATCTAATATTTTGATGTAACTTTTACAAATATTTTCAGTTTCATTAATTTTTTTAAAACTTTAATAAATTTGTTGTGTGTTTTTGGATTTTTTTTTTTAATATGTTTAAATAGTTTTTATTAATTTTTATTTTAGTTTTAGTCATTTTAGTACATCAAACTAAATGAAAATGAGAAATGTTGCCTTGGCAACTAGCTAAAGTAAGTTGTTAAATATATTTTTATTTTATTTAAGTTAATGTAATGAAAATGTGTTTTTATGGTTTTTGTTTCAATTAACTATATTAACCCTGACTGAAAATTCTGTCATTGTCTATCCTTCATGTCTATGAAACTCATTAGACCTTTTTTAAGTCAAGGCAGGAGTTGATCCCAGGTCCCTTTGCTGACTAATTAAAAACTGTACGTCTAGAGTCTAGACTAACATGGATCTCATATGTCAAACAGTATTAGTCAATATTGGGTCAGGCTGTTCATTAAATTAATCTTCTCGATTAGTCATTTGGCTACCCAAGATCTGATGGAGACTCAGGAGGAGGTGAAGGAGGAGGGTGTGGGGTATGTCGTCATGAGGAACCTGTTCTCCAGGGAGACCGACTTCAAGATGAGAACTGTGAAGAAGTCCAGAGAGACCAGTTTGAGAGAATCTGCTGAACGCCTGGCTCTGAGCAGGAAGGTTTGACCTAAAATGTTTAACAAGATGCTTATATAAAACATTGCGCCTTTAACTGTCAAAAAAGTTTAGTGCAACTTTTTGAATGCCAAAACCGTATCTTGAGGCTTATTGTAACACAATTTTTTCTGATTTAGAACTATTCCAACAGTGTCAGTATTTATATGATTGTTTTGTCTTAGGGTCCTAATTTATGTAATTTTTTTTTTAACACAAGATGCATGAGAAAGAGGAATTCCAAAAGAAGATGAATCCAGACAGTTTGACTCACCCCCCGGAGTTCATCGTGAAACCATGTGGCCAGACCGTGTGGGAGGGGAAGAGTGTGACGCTGCACTGCACAGTGGCTGGATGGCCCAAACCCCGCGTGTCCTGGTCAGAAACATTTGAATTCCAGCAGTACTGGATAGATATAATTGAAGGTTTAATTGAACTCTGTTCTGTTTCTCTTCATCTAACTGTGCTTTTCAGGTACAAAAACAATGTTTTAATCGATGCTAAGGCTCACCCTGAGAAATACTTCACAGAGAGCCAATACAACATGCATTCTCTGGAAATCAAGAAGTAAAGAAAGTTTTTGTTAATTTACTGATGTCTGTGAAAGTTTATTTGTGATTCTTTATTATATTGCACTAAATGCGTGGGATGATTTCATTTATTAGTAATATCAGAAGCATGGAAAAGATAAACGTTAAAGGCATGACTGTTATTTTTTGATTCTGTTAAAATGATATTTTATATAACTATATTATATTGAAATGATAATAAAATTATTCTTGTGGGTTGCAGTTGTAGTTTTAGCGATACTGCTGGGTACCGAATCTCTGCACTTAATGTGAAGGGAGAAAGTTCTGCGTTTGCTCCTGTCATTATTAAAAGTGAGTATTTCACTTTTTTAAAATGGATTTCAAATCTTAAATTATTTTTAAATAATGTTTTACGTGCTCTCAGAATCAAACTGTTGTGCATTGATGGCTCAGATCTTGCCTTCAAAAATAAGAAGCAAATCAGGAAGATTGGATTCTGCAGCAGTTTTAACATGCATGATCGAATAATATTGTATTTTATTAACCTGAATTATTTTAGAAATTATGGTTCCCATTCAGTCAGTCACGTTCTACGTTACGTCAGTGACTGACGAATTGGGATCTCGCCCGAGAGCCCAATCACCTTCGAGTGTTAACTAAACAAGCCATCACAACAGCAGCCTTCACAACGGCCGCAGCGTGGCCCAAAACTTCAATAAAAGAGCAATTTCCTTTGCCTCCGGGTCCCAAGAGGGTGAGGACGGCGGTGCACTTGCACGCGCTCTCCTTTTATACCCGCGCTGCGGGGCGGGGTGCGCATGGCGAAACACGCACGCCAACTGTCATTGGCTTGTTTAGTTAACACTCGAAGGTGATTGGGCTCTCGGGCGAGATCCCAATTCGTCAGTCACTGACGTAACGTCTCCGTTCCCTCCTTCAGGGAACGAGGGTTACACAAGTAACCTAGACGATATTATTAGTTAAAGAAGGACATAATTAAGGGGTCATCTGCAGCATCCCTGTAAGTTGTACTCTTAAGTCGTTGTTTTGTCTACTGAATGTAGAAACTGTGCTTCTACTTGTTTGTAACTCACTCTGGTCTGGTTTACAGCTGCTGTCCTCTTGACATGCTATTTTAAGGCCCTTGCAGCACCTCAGTTTGTCCTGTGTTATTCTAGAGCATCTTTCCACTGCCTCTGCACAGCCTAATGCTATGAAATATCTCGACTGGGTCTTTATTATTTAACATTGTTTGGTGTTATCAATCATGTGCACCAAGGTCAGTTGTAATCTTTAAAGAGAAGCAGTTGGTTGTGTTTGCAGTGCACTATGCAGTTATGCAGTTCTATTAAACATTTTTCACTTCGAAAGCACTAAAACGTTTATTTGCATTTTCATTCTAAAGGATTCAAAGAAGGAGAAGAGGTGACTGAAAGGCCCCGTAAGTTTACTGTACCATATAATTCTCTTTTATGCTCACATCTGTACTCATATAAAGCAAGTGTTTACAAATGTAATGTTTTGGTCTTTACAATAAATTGTACAGGTAATTTATAACAGTTTCTTCATTTGAATGTGTATAATAGAAATTATTTGACCTTTAAGCTGTTTCTATTCATATTCCACTCAGATGGTTACAGCCCTGAATATGGTGTGACCTTCAGCACTACCATCATTGACAAGTTTGACGTTTCTTTTGGCCGTGAGGGAGAGACCATGAGTTTGGGCTGTACAGTCATTGTCTACCCCACTGTGAAGCGCTACCAGCCAGAGATAGTGTGGTACAGAAATGGTCAGTATGAACACTAAGTGCACCATGAAGTTATTGTGCATTTTAAAAAGCTACTTGCAAATTTACTGAAGCATAAATCACCATCTCCTAAGCATTGCCCTCCTCTGTGCTCTTTCTATAAGTCTATAATAATACCTTTTCTTTATCAGGTGTCATCTTGTCACCTTCAAAGTGGGTGCACATGCACTGGAGTGGTGAGCAAGCCACTTTGACCCTTGTGCATCTGAACAAAGAAGATGAGGGTCTTTACACACTGCGTGTCAACACCAAGTCAGGTTTTGACACTCACTCTGCCTATGTGTTTGTCAGAGGTGAGTCCTGCCTGTACACTTGTGCCGAGTAGTCTTAAGTTGAAAGGCAATGTCTTATTGTCCTTGCACAAGCTGTGTGCACTGTATCTTTAAGAGTTACCACATGCATTAGGTTTCTCTCTGGGAATGCTGCTTCTATCTTTGGTCGATAGCCTTTCTTTCTTTTGCTGCGGTGCCTAGTGAGCAGTTGGGGGTTCTGTGCCTTGCTCATGGGCACCTCAGTCGTGGTATTGAAGGTGGGAGAGAGCGCTGTACATTCACTCCCCCAACCTACAATCCCTGCCGGTACGAGACTCGAACCTGCAACCTTTGGGTTACGAGTCCGACTCTCTAACCATTGGGCCACTTATTTCAAATAAGTACTGTTTTTGTACTTTACAAATCAAAGAATCCTGAAAAAAAGTATCTTGGTTTCAAAAGTATCAAAAAGAGACTTCTTTTAAAAACATAAAAAATTGTACTGACCCCAAAGTCTAAAATTTCATAGTGTACATTTTTACAGAAAATCAGAAATAAAATGTTAATATTTAATAGTTTTATTTTTTTTAAATAAAATCTAATTTTATCCATTTTATTTGATTTTAGGCTTGTTGTTGGCTCATGAATGATACAAAATATATGTTTTTACGAAGTATTTGTGTTTGACATCATCTCATAAGCCCTTAAGGGAGATCATTAAAACACTTTCCTAAGTTAAGAGAGAGATGAAATTAGCTAGCTGCATTCACAGAGCGGAGGCGCTGCCATGTATCTTACTTTGCCATAATTAGATATGACAGCAGGGTGCAAATCATGCTGATTTGTGTGTATCAGATGCTGATGTGGAAGAGGAGGGGGTTCCTGTTGCTCCTCTTGATGTGCGTTGTCATGACGCTAATAAAGACTATGTGGTTGTTACCTGGAAGCAGCCAGCAGTGGAGGGAAGCAGTTCTATCATTGGCTACTTCATTGACAGGTGAGTCATATGCCATCAGCAGTGAGATAATAAAGTTCACATCAGTGTTCCTCATTTAAATATTTCTTTACAGGTTGGAGGTTGGCACTCATCATTGGACCCAGTGTAATGACACTCTAGTGAAGTATGCCCGTTTTCCTATCACTGGGCTTACTGAGGGCCGCTCCTACACCTTTAGGGTGCGAGCCCTCAACAATTTTGGTGTGAGCCGCCCGTCCCGGGCCTCTGACCCTGTAGTTGCCATGGATCCATCAGACCGTGCCCGCCTTAGAGGTGAAGAATATATGAATAAAGACTAAAGAACAAAGAAAAAACTGTATAACAAAGCCAATCAGTTTTGCTTATGAATATGTTGTTTCACAGCGGGTCCCTCGGCTCCATGGACTGGAATGATCAAATTCACTGAGGAAGACCCCACAGGTAAAAAAAAAAAAAATTTGGAGTTGGTAAGATGTTTAATTATGTTATGTTAAGAAGTATATTATGCTCAACAAGGCTGCATTTATTTGCCAAAAATACAGTAAAAACAGTAATATTGTAAATTATTATTACAATTTAAAATAACTGTTTTCCATTTGAATATATTTTAAAGTGCAATTTATTCCTGTGATTACAAAGCTGAATTTTCAGCAGCCATTAATCCAGTCTTCAGTGTCACATGATCCTTCCTTCATTCTACAGTAATATGCTGATTTGCTGCTGAAGAAACATTTATTATCATCAATGATGAAAACAGTTGTGCTGTTTAATGTTTCTGATGAATAGATGATGAATAGAAAGAACAGCATTTATTTGAAATATACATCTTTTGTAACATTGTAAATGTATTTACTGTCATTTTGACTTTAATGAGTCCTTAAAAGTATTAATTTCTTTTAAAATAAACTTTTGAACAGTAGTGTGAATTAAAAATGAAACATGGAAAACTAATTTTATCAATTGTTTTAATTTCTGCAAGTAAATCTAGGCATATTCTAGGCTTTGTCTAGGCATTGCAGCATTATAATGGATATTATAATTTTTTTAATTTGTTTATAGATTTTCTACAACAGTGATATTAAACTATTAACTAAAGATTAACTTTAAGTAAGTGTTAGATGACCGCAAAGATAATCAAAATGTAAAAATAGAGGAGAAATAATGTGTGGAAGTAACTGCAGCATTATTTCTCTTGTCTCTTTCAGTGGGGGTTGTTCCTGGTCCACCTACTGACCTGGCTGTCACTGAGGCTACTAAAAGTTACGTGGTACTGAGCTGGAAGCCACCCATCCAGAGAGGACATGAGGGTGTCATGTATTATGTGGAGAAGGTGAGGTAGAGTGTAAGGTATAAAGTATTTGATTTTTACCTTGAATTGAGTTTTGCACATTTTTAGACTATCAAATCTTTTCCCAGTGTTTGGTAGGTACAGAGACATGGCAGAGGGTGAACACCGGGATGCCAGGTAAGTCCCCCCGCTTTGCCCTGTTTGACCTTGCTGAGGGCAAATCCTACAGCTTCCGTGTCCGTAGCTGCAACTCTGCTGGAGTTGGAGAGCCGTCAGAAGAAACTGGGGCGACTACTGTGGGAGACAGATTGGGTTAGTATTAGCACTTGATACAAAAAAAGAAAATGGGTTAGTGACACATGTTCTGAATTGCATGATAGAGAGTATGTTTCAAGACTTCTGTGACAAGTGCCTCAAAGGGGTCATATTGCACACTTTCTAATCCTACGTGGCATGAATTTGGGATGAGACCAGCAGTATCAGTTCAGGAAAGTACCATTCAAAACTTTGGGGTCAGTAATATTTTATTAATACTTCCATTCCAGCAAGGATGCAATAATTGCATTAAAGTGACATTAAAGAAGCGTATGATGCTACAATAGATTTCTACTTCAAATACAGTAAATGCTCTTATTTTGAACTTTCTATTCATCAAAGTATGTAACAAAATGTATCATGGTTTCCACAAAAATATTAAGCAGCACAAATGTTTTCAACATTGATAATAATTAGAAATGTTTCTTGAGCAGCAAATCAGCATATTAGAATAATTTTTGAAAGATCATGTGACACTGAAGACTGGAGTAATGATGCTGAAAATTCAGCTTTGCCCTCACAGGAATAAATTACATTTTAAAATATATTACAATAGAAAACTGTTCTTTTAAATTGTAATAATATTTCACAATATCAATGTTTTTACTGAAGTTTGATAAGGAATATATTTTGATAAGAAATAAATACAGATTTAGTGAGGGATTCAAGAGACTTTTTTCAAAAATATAAATCTTACTGCTCCCAAACTTTGAATGGTAGTGTATGTCTACAATGGCAGAATGGCAGAAAAATATTCATAATTTGTATGATCCTGCAAATGAAAGTGTGGGTATGACTTGCCTTGAAATCAGATGAACGCCATTCTCTGTCTTTTATTTAATTTAATTTTTCTTTTCTTTTTTTTAGACCTGCCCTCTGTCCCAGGGCCTGTTATTCCCATTAGAAACACTGACACTTCTGTGGTTGTGTGCTGGGGGGCATCTAAGGAGGTTAAGAATCTGGTGGGCTATTACATCGAGGTCAGCGTCAATGGCAGTGGCGTGTGGGTTCCCTGCAACAACAAGCCAGTCAAAGGCACTAGGTATGCCAATCAAGTGACCCGAGATCGAAAACTGCTATAAATGTGCATTGTTATTAAAACTACATATATTTTTATAATGAATTACAAGAAAGCAATTTATAAAGATATTTATACCAAGATATTATTATGTAACTGGTCTTAACTTGTGTTCTGTTGTGCAGGTTTGTGTGCCACGGGCTGAGCACTGGGGACAAATGCGTATTTAGGGTGAAGGCTGTGAATGCTGCAGGATACAGTGGAAGCAGTGCTGAATCTGAGGCCTGCATTGTACAAGCAAGCATTGGTGAGTATTGTTGTTTATAGCAGAAGTATTGAACCTTTTTAAGGCCTAGGACCTCTTGGTGGATATAGAGACTAAACTGGTATAACTAACAAGTAGCATGGCCTATAATCTACATACTTAGTTATGTCTACATAGCAAAACTGTTTAAATAGTTATTTTACATTTGATTTTTTTTCCAAATAAATTTTAATCTGAGAGAGGCACAATTAAATATTTATCTAAACTTTAGCTTTATATAAAAAAAAATTGAAGGGATAGTTCACCCAAAAATTAAAATTCTGTCAACATTTACTCATTATCTACTTGTTCCAAACTTGTATGAGTTTCTTTCTTTTGCTGAACACAAAAGAAGATATTTTGAAGAATGTTGGTAACCAAACAGCTGACAGTAGCCATTGACTTCCGTAGTATTTTTTTCATTTCATTTCAACTGTTTGGTTACCAGCATTCTTCAAAATATCTTCTTTTGTGTTCAGCAGAAGAAAGAATCTCATACACGTTTGGAACAATTTGAGGGTGAGTAAATGATGACAGAATTGTAATTTTTGGGTGGACTGTCCCTTTAATTTGAAGCCTGTGTGTAATGAATTCAGTCTGTATATTTTATGTTGTCTAACTTTGGGAAAGAAACCATTAAAAAAACATTTAATATCTGTGATTCATTCTTTCCCCGATGTGCGCCAGCACTTAGCACCATACTGTCCTTGACCAGTACAAAACCATTCTTCAGATTCACTCTATATGTGCAATACCTTCTCGCTTAGCCTTCAATACCATTCTAAAGTCAAGATTATACTGCATATATTGGCAAAGTGTTATTCATACTTTGCATACCACCAAGCTAAAAACGCAAAGCCTGCATGCTGCATGAACATCTTTAGAAAGCTAGCCCTGCCTCTGTGTGCCCTGCCCTGCTATCAGAACTCCTTTAATTCCCTCAGAAACACACAGTCATTACTTGAGTGTATCCTGTGTGACACAAACATCCAGGTACTAAGATTAACAAAGCAGCCATGTGAAAGAGACAATAGGGGTCTCTCGTTAACTATCCCAGACTGCAAAATGCACGTTGACTAAAAAAATCTGACATTTATTTTTTTCCTACTGATTTTGTGGTTAAATTGAACTTAGCCAACATATGATATATAAGAGCAGCATGCTTACTGACTGTTTGTTTGCAGAGTCTGAACAGCATGAACATATTATTGTTATTTTGACTCTGCATTGTTCAATAAAATGCAGAATGTGCGTATAAAATAACACGATTTAGTATTAAGAGAACATAACAGCTGAATTTCAGGTCATCAGGCTTTGATATCTATGCTGATGTCCTACTATGTCCTACATTAATTATTTGTTTGGGTAACAGACGTAAACAGCCAATGTTTGAATGTTTTGTTGGGCTAAACTAAGTCTTGTCCTTCTGCAGCCGTCCCAAGACCCCCCACCGGTGTGACCCTGCTGGAGAGGGTCCGTGACTACATGGTGCTGAGCTGGCAAGCTCCTGCTAAAACTGGTGGAGCAGACATCAGAGGTTACTACCTGGATTACAGAACAGTGAAGGATGGAGTCACAAGCAAGTGGCATGAAATTAACCTCCAGACAGTCACTGGGACATCTTATAAAGTAGGTCATGATATCACAGTGTTGGATTTATGACAATTTGTGGATTTATTTAGCTTTATGAAATGAAAAACTTTGATAAAGTTAACAATTTTGATCACAATGCACATGGTGCTGAAGACTGATCTGAATAACTGTTGTCCCTATTCCTGTCTCATTGACTTAGGTGACAGACCTGAAGGAAAACATATTCTACCAGTTCCAGGTGCGTGCAGTCAATCGGGCTGGTATTAGTGAATCTTCCATACCCACGGTCCCCTTGGAGTGCAAGGAATGGACTGTGGCTGTTCCAGGTAAACCAGTCAGCATTTATGTCAGGCAATGACATTTTTATAGATATACAGTACATCCTTGTGTAAAACAGTATATGGGAGAGATTATAATGGGGAGGAGACAGACCACTTATAGGAAAATGATCAAGGAGTAGAAGAAATCATAATGCGTAAATTGTAAAGAGTAAATTGCATTTTTGAGTTTGTTTACTCTAGAACAGTGATTCTCCACTTTTTTGACTCCAAGGCCCCCTTTTATCCACACCAATATTCAAGACCTCATGACTTTTCAAGCTGTTCTTTATTTTATAAACAAGGATTAATGATAAGGATTTTTTTCTTAGAATTTCTAACCAAATATAACATTTTAGAGCTTGGCATAACTATAAAAACGTTATTCATTATACATATGACCATGGAATTTTATTCAAATTAACAATATTTTATTACCTGCTCTAGAAATCACACTTTTATCAATAAAAGGTATTAACTGTTTTGATGTGTCACATATTTTTCAGGTATTGAGCCCACCTTGGAAGTTCATTTTATTGCTGATTTTAAATAAATATTTGTAAAAAAAAAAAAAAAGTTATATAAAATGTTGTTAAAAAGTAAAAATAATTGTAATTCCTTAGGATTAATAGAAGCTGTACTGCCTATTAACTATTTAAGGTGGCTGCCAAACATGCTGATTTGCCACTGAAGGGACTTTGGTTCAATTTCCATTTTACCTGCTGCGGTGATGTATCACAGGCAATTTCTCTGTGTGCATTTTACTTTTCAACAAACCCAGGCCCTCCTCATGGCCTCCGTGTCCAGGAGGTGCGTAAAGACTCTATGGTGCTTCTGTGGGAACCACCTATGTTCAGTGGCCGCAGTCCTGTGACTGGATATTATGTGGACTATAAGGAAGAGAATGGCAGATGGAGATGTGTCCAAGAGAGATCCACAAAAAATACTTACATGAAGGTAATAAATGAGTTTTTTTTTTTTATTAAAGTGAGTGTTTTAGTTCTCACAGTTTAGTCATTTATTGTTACAGTATATAGTTCAAGTTCTGTTTTTAGAAAGGAGACAGAACTGCTCCCATGGCTTAATTGCAAATCAATTTCCTAGAACTGACTTTTGCTTTTAATTATGTTTTTAATGTTTCTTTATTTTTCGTGTTGAGACATTTAGTTGTTATTCAAAAGAAAAGAAAGAACAAAATGTCAGACGGCTTTTTACTCATAATAGTTTTTTCTGTTTGATAAAGCTAACTGGTCTCCAAGAGGGTGTTTCCTACAGGTTGCGCATCCATGCTAAGAATGTGGCAGGTGTAGGTGGACCCTCAAAGAAAACCGATGCAATTTTGGCTGAGACCCGCCCTGGTGAGATTTTTTTCAAAGGACATGGATACAGCTGTTTGTTGAGGAAAACATCTGTAACTCACCACCTGCATTTCTAATTTTGTTACACATGTTGGGTTCTCCTCAGGAACCAATGAAATTGTGGTGGATGTGAACGACGATGGTGTGATCTCTCTGATCTTTGAGTGCTCCGATCTAAAAGAGGACTCTCAGTTTGTGTGGTCTAAAAACTACAAGGCCTTCACTGACACTTCTCGTCTCACCGTTCAGACTTCTGGGGGCAAGTAAGTTGACTTCTAAACTAATACAGTGTTTTACATATTTTGTTGAGATTGATTGTTTTTATGTTTGGATACCCAAATAACGTACATGTAAAGAAATAATAATATGAATTTTAAAATAACCTCAATAAGTTCCTCTGACCTAATCAAAAGCCAATAGATAGATTTTATTGAAGCTTTAGTCCTGTATTTTTATATTATATTATATTATATTATATTATATTATATTGAATATAAGGGTTAACTAGATGTATTATTGTTGACAGAACCATGCATTTTCTTTTATGCAGGTCCAGAGCCATCTTTAATGACCCATCGTTGGAAGACTTGGGCATTTACTCCTGTGTTGTGACCAACACTGATGGTGTCTCTGCCAGCTACACGCTCACTGAGGAAGGTGAGTCACTTTCCTTTAATATGCAGTTGTAGACGGTGATATTCCCTCCTATTACATTTCTTTGAGTGACATTCATGCTTAAGAAGGGAACACAAGGAGATCACTACTTCTTAAGGTCAGCTGAGAACACAGCAGCTGCTGATTTCTTTTCCATAAACAATAAATAAATGGTTCCACACAACAAATAATCCATGTCAATAATCTTTTTTCTCATAGTCGAGTAAAAAAGCACATGATGCAAGCTTTGTTGATTACATGCAATGTTGTTTACCTTTTGTAGGACTTAAGCGCTTGTTGGACATCAGCCGTGACCACCAGTTCCCCAGTAAGTATTTTACCTAGACTTACTCCAGACTTTTATAGTATAGTCAACATGCATACTTAATATACATTTACCAATCAGTAGGTTGTTGTAGGTTAATTGTGAGCAATTTTCTGCAGTAATTCCCTTTAAAAGTGAAATGGCCATTGAGCTGCAGGAGAAGGGCCGTGTGCGTCTCTGGGCCGAAGTTGCCAAGTTCACTTCTAACTGCCAAGTGGAGTATGTATTCAATGATAATATCATCCATGAAGGAAAGGTAAGACATATCAGAACATTTTAGCTCCAGTGGACTTCACAAACTAACATTAATTATCATGCAAACTTGGACAGCACACATGATCGTGTTGTGTTTTGTTTTTTCAGAAGTACACAATGAACTTTAACAAAACCACTGGCATTATTGAGATGTTCATGGACTCACTGGAGGTTACTGATGAAGGAACCTTCACATTTAACCTTGTTGATGGTAAAGCAACTGGTCGCATCAGTTTAGTGCTTATTGGAGAAGGTGAGGTCATGTTTTAATTTGTTTATTTTTTAGTCACTTAATCTTTAGTATTCCTACAACTTATTGGTACAAACACACACACACACACACATATATATATATATATATATATATATATATATATATATATATATATATATAAAACAAAACACGCAGTAAGCAAATAGATACATTCTGAGATGTCTAAAAGTCTGACACCACTAGTGAAAATACTTATATTTCATAAATCATAATTTCTTTAATTTAAAAAAAATCTTAATTTTTCTGTCACTCATATTGTTTTGAGTAAATAATAGTAATAATAGTAATTGTTATTATTAGTATTATTATTATTAGCTTAACAATTTGAGTGAATAATTAGTGACAGTCTTAAGTATTTCTCATTCCTCCCACATCATAACTTTTGTTTGTTTTAATTTGAAATTAAATCACTTTAAATTAGATTCTGAATCCCAGATTTGGACCCCACCATATATTTATGTTCAACCCATTATGCAAACCAAACCAGTGAACCACTAGCACATCTCACTAGTACAGCAAACTAACATAACTTTATATCAGTATGTCCTGTAGAGGGCAGAAGAATACAGTTTATAACTCCAAATCCAAATTAACTAGGCAGGTGGGGTGACAAGAAATGTGTTTTGTGTTCTAGCTTTTTGGGAATGTATATGAATGGACTCATATAGAATTCAATACTCAAAATAAGCTGTATTCTGCATGCTTTGATAATTTTCTTCCATTTTTTTTATAATGCTGTTTTACAGAGTTTGCTGAGCTTCAAAAGAAATCTGAGTTTGAGAGAGCAGAGTGGGTCAGAAGGCAAGGTACACTGTCTTTACACTGTATTTTTTGTGTTAAATCACATTTTAGTTGTCGAGTGACTAAAAATATTCTTCCACACACAGGTCCTCACTTCGTGGAGTATCTCAGTTTCAAGGTCACCCCAGAATGTGATGTGCATCTGAAATGCAAGGTAAGGCGCTAGGAATCAAAGATGGGAACATGAAACCGTCTGTCAGTGCCTCAGGTTGAAAAGATACTTGTTAAAATCCCTTTTTCCAACTTTCTCCTGATATAGGTTGGAAACATCAAACCTGCCACTGAGATTGCCTGGTTTAAGGATGGAATTGAGATTGAAGAGGATGATGAGGATGCTAAGAAGATAAAAAAATCTGATGAAGTGTTGATCTTTGACATTGGCAAGGTCAGACTTGGTTGGGCAAAGATGGGACTGTTTTTGAGCTGGGATTTCAGCATCCATATGATTATTATAACGAATGCATATTTGCTAGATGCAGTTTTATACATATGCTACAGGCTTTGCTACGCTAAAAGCCACTCTCCTCTCTGACACACGGACTCATAAATGATGAGATATTTGCATAGTACTGAAGAATATATTTATTTTCTTTATTCCTTTAGACATAAGGAGATATAAGTTATTTTTTATTACATCTCAAAAGCTTTTCAGTTCCTGAAAAGTAATAGTCAGTGTTTAAAATCAGCATGAAATGAAAATGTACTTTCTTAATACATGCTCCTGGTCTTATTTTACATGATTCATCTGTATTTTTGATGAAAAAAAAAAAAGGTCTTCGTAATACTTTTATCCACATTTAATAACTTGCTCTGCCTCTAAAATTCCTTTCAATTTCGTCCGACATCGCTTATGTTATTAACTAACAGCCAAATAGCTACTTAGCTACTTAGGCTTAGGTTTTGGCTTGTTTCAGGCTACTTTTTACGTAATGCATCCTTTCAAAAATCTTCACAATACAATATTAGTAATAAAATCACATTATGGAAGTAAAATAGCCCTTGAAGGAATATATAATGGCATATGCACCTATGATGGATTCTATATTTATCATGCTTATCATGCCCTGTACTTTGAACAGACAGGGTGCAAAACCTATTCAATTAACATTTATCAACATTTATGTCCATATATCATAAATATATGGTTCTTCCGTGTGTGAACCTTGGTTTTTAAAGGAAGCCATTTCCTGAATTCAATCAGATTTGGATGGCAGTTTTGTAAAGTAATGCAAATTATCATATTATGTGCAATCTGACTTCCATTTTGTAATATTTATGTGTTATAAATATTAAAAGCCATCTTAGTTTGACTGAATTCAACTACCAATAAGGTGCCAGTCCTGCTGGACTGAGAGAGAGGGGTGGATTTAATGCATGCTGCAGAAGAAAGGCAAACTCCCTTGCCACTCCAGTAGGGGGCGCTGGCATTAACTGCAATGTTTGTTTAATTCACAGCTTGTTATTAAGAGCGAAAAGGCACAACGGAAACCTGCAACCGAAGAAAGTCCAAGCAAGCCAAAAGTCTGGAGCTTTGATTTATAAGTTGCCATCAGTGTCAATATGTTGTTATTTGTGATGGTGCTGTCTTTTCTTCTCTTACTCTGTTGGCCTGCAGCATCCTCCGCAGGAGAAAAGCTTGACTTTTCGGTCTTTTCTGTTTCGTTAATTTAAATGTTGTTCAAAAATGTTTTAACTTCCGATTCGTATTGATAATACTGTCCAGTGTCTGTGCCTCACTGTTCCCACAATTCCCCCAACAGATTTCAAAGAAAGATGCAGGAGTATATGAGGTTAAACTGAAGGATGAAAGAGGAAAGGACAAAACTTTGCTGAACCTGACAGATGCAGGTAGGAGCCACTTTGTCACCGGGCCTGATCAAAAATTCTGAATTTAAGGATTGGCATCCTTTCATTTGAAATGGAATTTGCATTGAACTGGCCACATCCCACGAGATGTTGAATTGAAATTTGAATTGGAATGACTGGTTGTGGAATTCCCTGATTTGCAATTCAAAGAAATTTAGCACAGACATACAACAGAATTTCATTAGTCCAGCAGTGAAACAAAACCGGAAAAACAACTCCTTTAGGTATTTTGCTTGTTTCTCTCTATATGAAGATGTACTGTATTTAAATAACTTATTTATAAGACTTATTCTCTTATATTTAATATTTAAATATTTGATATTAATATTTAATATTATATATGTATATATAAATAATAATAATAATAATAATAATAATAATAATAATAATAATTTATTTAATACATATTTACAGTTTTGGTCAAAATTTTACATTCACTTTGCAGTTTCTGCAAAATGTTAATTATTTTACCAAAATAAGATAGATCATACAAAATGCATGTTATTTTTTATTTAGTACTGACCTGAATGAGATATTTCACATAAAAGACAGTTTCATATAATCCACAAGAGAAAATAATAGTTGAATTTATATACCCGTTCAAAAGTTTTACATCGGCTTGATTCTCAGTGCCAGGGTTCCTCGAATCCGGTCCTGGAGGATCACTGCCCTGTAGAGTTTAGCTCAAACTTGCTTACCTGTGATTTTCTAGGGATCCTGGAGACCTTGATGAGCCTCCAGGGCAAGCTTTGAGAAACACTGCTTAATACTATGTTGTTACCTGGATGATCCACTGCTGTTTTTTGTTTTGTTTTGTGATAGTTGTTCATGAGTCCCTTGTTTGTCCTGAACAGTTAAACTACCTGCTGTTGTTCAGAAAAATCCTTCAAGGCCCACAAATTCATTGGTTTTTCAGCATCTTTTGTGTATTTGAATCCTTTCCAACAATGACTGTGTGATTTTGAGATCCATCTTTTCACACTGAGGACAACTGAGGGACTCATACGCAAAGGTTCAAACACTCACTGATGCTCCAGAAGTAAAAACAATGCATTAAGAGCCAGGGGTGTAAACTTTTGAACAGAATGAAGATGTATACGTGTTTCTTATTTTGCCTAAATATCTTTTTTTTTTTCATTTAGTATACCGCCCTTCAGAAGCTACAGAAGATACTTACATGTTTCCCAGAAGACAGAATAAGTTCAATTTACCCTGATTCAAAAAGATTTCACCTCCAGGCTCTTAATGCTTCGTGTTTCCTTCTGGAGGATCAGTGAGCGTTTTAACTTTTGTAATAGTTGTGTATGAGTCCTTCAGTTGTCCTCAGTGTGAAAAGATGGATCTCAAAATCAAACAGTCATTGTTGGAAAGGATAAAAATATGCAAAAGATTCTGGAAAACCAAAGAATTTGTAGGACCTGAAGGATTTTTCTGAAGAACAGCAGGTAGTTTAACTGTTCAGGACAAACAAGGGACTCATGAACAACTATCACACAAAAAAAACTAAACAAAAAAACAGCTGTGGATCATCCAGGTAACAACACGGTATTAAAAATCAAGCGTATGTAAACTTTTGAACAGGGTCATTTTTATTAACTCGACTGTTATTTTCTCTTGTGAACTATATGGTAACATCTTTTATATGAAATATCTTATTCAGGTCAGTACTAAATAAAAAATAACATGCATTTTGTATGATCCCTCTTATTTTGGTAAAATATTTAACATTTTGCAAAGTGTATGTAAAATTTTGACCACAACTGTATATAATTCTATAATATAGGTTTCATATTGAAAAATTAAATATATAATGTTTATTTTTTGAATTTCTGTGTCATTACATTCCAATTTAAAAACAACTGTCACCTATCAGTAATTTAAAGGGGTCATATGATGCGATTTCAATTTTTCCTTTCTCTTTGGAGTGTTACAAGCTCTTGGTGCATAAAGAAGATCTGTAAAGTTGTATTGTGGACGAAGCAGAGTCCAGCCCGGGGTCCTCACATGTTGTAGCCGCAAGCCTCCTTTGTCGAATCCGCCGGCCGCGCCGTTCTCAAGCACGCCGCCTCTGCTCTTGACTTTTTTTCAGTAGTCAGTCTATTTAAATGTGATTATTATCTTTTTCAGGTTATCAAGCAGTGCTGAATGAAGTATTTAGAGTTATTGGTGAGTGTCTTGCCATCAGTCCTTCACCACTCAGCATTATTGAATGTACAGTAACATGATGCTCCATTAGGAATGTGCTCTCAAGCACTTAAATCGGATCAGTGCATGTCATGTAATTTTCATGCATTTCTTTCTCTGTTCTTGTAGCCAATTCTTCAACCGAGCTCAAGGTTATGAGCACAGAACATGGAATCATTCTCTACTCATTTGTTGTGCACTATATTGAAGATCTCCGTATTGGCTGGCTTCACAAGTAGGCTTCCTACCGCCCTTCTTTATCTACCAGTGTGTGTGGGCTGTTTTAACGTGACTCCAGTGTCACATTAGCCACATAAAAGAGTATATTGAAACAGTTTCAGACAAAATTTCTTCCCAATCCATAGTTTTGTCAATCTGTTTGCTCACTGTACCGTATCACCTCAAGAAACTATGGCCAATGACCTAGTGTGTTTTCCCTTTGTTTCTAACTGGCTCCAGAGAATCAAAGATCTCCCACTCAGACAGAGTGCAGTGTGGAGTCACCGGAGAACAGCTGTGGCTCAAAATTAATGAGCCCACCGAGAAGGATAAGGGCAAATATGCCATTGATATCTTCAATGGCCAAGGCAGCGTCAAGAGAGTTCTTGACCTGTCAGGACAAGGTAAGAGCTCAGGTGTTCCAGCACAAGCAACCTTGCAGTACTTCTGCATTCATTCTAGGATATTGTGAACTTATTTTGTTATAGTTTACTGTAATTTATTGTATTTATTTTTATTATATTTTATATACAATTTCATTTATATACCTAGTATTACCTTTATATGATTCTGTTTTAATGATTTATCCCCCTATCATTCCATTACAAAGAGTGGGAGGAAGCATTTGAAGAATTCAAGAGGCTGAAGTAAGTTTAAACTAATGAAAAACTTCATATTCTATTAATGTGACAAGGATTTGTTAATTTTCTACTTTTTTATGGTCAAGACCTCCTTGCATAAGCTGTGAGAATAACACTAAAATAGACCACCCATGAGTGCGTCACAGGAGGCTTGCAGTGAAGCATTTCCTGATATTGAAAAATGTGAGAAGCATGTATCAACTTTGGAGTCACTATTTATAGACATAAATAACTGCGTGTTTATCTGTCTTTCCTTCCTCAGGGCAGCGGCCATAGCAGAGAGAAGTAAGTGATTGTCTTTGCTGTTATTATTGTGCTCTGACATTGTGTACAGATTCACAATGTCATGCCATAAAAGCAATCCAATTTGAATGTTTCAGTTGCAGCATTATTATTCTGTGTTCAGTAGATGAAATTAATATGTCTGAACAAACATTTTATCACAATTCCTTTCTTTAGAGAGAACAGATATTGATTTGGTTCATCACATATTAAAGCTTCTTGAAACAGCTTATTAAACAGTTTGTGTATCTGCAGATCGTGCTCGTGTGGTGGGTGGCCTACCTGATGTAGTCACCATTCAGGAGGGCAAGGTAATACAATCAGTCATATATGTGCATCATATTTCGTAAAGAGTTTATTGATAATGTGGTCTGACATTTCATCCCTCTTCACCCTTTTCAGTCCCTTAACCTCACTGGCAACGTATGGGGTGATCCAGTTCCCGAGGTCAGCTGGGTGAAGAAGGATAAAGCGCTGTTGTCTGACGATCACTACACGCTGAAGTTTGAGCATGGCAAGTTTGCGAGCATCACCATCGCTGCTGTTAAAACCATCGACTCGGGAAAATACGCCCTGCTGGTGAAGAACAAGTATGGCACAGAGGCGGCAGAGTTTACCGTCAGTGTCTACATCCCTGAGGATGAAGGCGAGAAGAGGGAGTAAAGACACGCACAGAGGGAGGGAGGGGTTTAACAGATGACCAGTATACCTTCCAAAGCATTTTAATTCAAAGCATGCCCACCCACAGTGCAATATTGTATGGTTTTCCCTTAATTAAACATGTTGGTGATTAAAAAAAAAAAATAATAATCAAACTTAAATAATTTTCTCAAATAATGTGACCGATATATGCTAGGCTTTTTGGCTTTTCACACTATACTTAACCCAGGATTAAAGGGATAGTTCATCCAAAAAAGAAAATTCTGTCATCATTTAATCACCCTCAAGCTGTTGAACACAAAATATTTATATATATTTTGAAGAATGTTGGTAACCAGTTGACCGTAGCCATTGACTTCCATAGTATTTTTTTTTATATTGTCAATGTCAGTGGCTACCGTCAACTATTTGGTTACCAACAGTGTCTGTGCCACGAGAGGGACTGGCCTGGCCACTTCGGTACTTGTGCCCCCCACCTTACTGATTTCTACAGGGGGACAACGCTGAGGCCCCCTCTAGAAACGCAAATGCCCCCCACCCCCTAGTTTTTATGTTTACCAAAATATATTTTTCTGGGATCACAGAAGAAGAAAAAAATTCATAGAGGTTTGGAACAACTTGAGAGTGAGTATGACAGATTTTTCATTTTTGGGTAAACTATCCCTTTAACATTTTTTAAATTATGAGTTAAGTCTACTCTAATGCCTTAAGCAGGGTTTCACATTTGGAAGATTTTGGGGAGCGAGGTTATGAAGCCTTGCTGCCATTCTGGCTTCAAAAGTATACAGTGTGAATTGCTAACCCAGACTAATGTATTAACTGTATGGAAAAGTAAACATATTGAGGTGTTAACCTTACAATTGTGTTGCCATAGGTATTTATAATGTATAAGCCTGATGAAATATGGCCATTTCTTAATCTTGGGTTAAAAAAAAAAGTTTGCGAAGCCCATTTTGCAACTTATGATACATGTATCTCATTGCTTTATGTAATCGCAGTGTACCTGCAGGTAATAAAGACATTTGGGTAAGACAATATTAACATGTTTTGAATTAAAACGCATTGGGTGTTGCTTATTTCTAAGCATAAACTGGAACATAGTGCAAAATTAGTATGTATCTCAACTTGTCTGATTTTAATTCAAATTGGTTGTGTAGTTTCCAGTGTCAATCTACTGCTTTGTGGAAAATTTTCATTTAACAGTAGACAATAGAATGTTAAAGGTTACTAAACCAATCATGTGATTTGGTAAATCCTTTCTCAGTAAAAAAAAAAATATATATATATATATATATATATGTATATATATAGATTTCTGGATTTGTAGTTTTATTATTTATTGTTGTATGTCTGCTGAATCTTGATTAGTGCATTTTGTGTCTTTATATGTAAACATATAAACATAAAAATCAGTTGGCACTGTTGCAAGGCCATCTGTGTAGATCCTTTGGATAACACAGGCACAGCTATTGTTAAGGTTTTGTTGTTTTCTGCGCATATCAGCTGACAAAGATCTTAATCACAAAACCAATAGTCAGTGCTATGCAATAAATTTAACCAGTTGCAATGCAGAATATGCGTTTGACTTGAAGACCTGCCAAACCTGGAGTGTAAAGTCCTGCACTGTGAACATAAGCATGAATATGCATGTGCATGAATATGAGCATATGTCAGTCAGGATAAGAAAAGGAAACCGGTTATTTACTGACAAGTAACTGAACAAAACAATCTTTTAAAAGGAAGTGGTTGTGGCGCTTATCTCGTGAATTCTAGACTGCGATCGGGGGAATTCTACTTTGGCGAGTCACGTGAGAGGCCTCTTTTTGAAGTGCCTCCGCTCAGTCGCGTCACGCCACGGCCAACCGCTGCCACTGCGTGTGAGCCGCTGCCTGACCGGTTCGCGGTGAAGTGACCCTCCGAAAAACTGCCCACTGTTATGATACACGAGACAACCAGGAGGGATCCGGTCGGCGCTGAGAGGTGTAAATATACACTGCCGTCAGCGGTGCTTGTTCAGAATGAATGAATAACGTCGGCGCGAGAGAGCAGAGGACAAGCAGACGTCGACAAAACGTCCAATTTCTCATCAACAACAGCAGCTGAAAGGTAAACATTATACGAGACCATTTCTGAGTTAACCGTTTTGGCCAAACGTATACAATACCTATTTTAATGACACAAACATGTCGTAATTTGACAGCGTAGAGATGTAAATGTCAGTTTAGCTGGTCGGCTAGTCAAGCTAACCAGAATGCTGATGCTGTGACAGGAACATTTCCCTAAAACCAAACATGACGTCATTATGTTCATTATTTTATCTATTTATTCATTGTTTATTCATTTAGAGCTGGCTAATGCTACATTTTGTCAAAAAGTTGCTGTTGTGTGCATCCAAAGCACTACGGTTTCAATAAACAGCAGCGTTATGATCATTGCACTGGCCAACGGGGGTTTTGCACACTGACCATTAGTGTGTGAATGGTTGCTCTTTGAAAAAGAACATTTCATTTTGTTCAAATACAGTTATTTTTCGACTCCTTAATAAGAAAACTTACAATAGTAATTACTTTCTCAAAGAAACTGTTTTGCTGTAATAACTGCTACAAACATTGAAGACTGTTTAGCAATAAGCTTATACTGTACAGTATTAGTGCGCATTAGTGCTGATAAAGACAGCTGTACTGAAACTTGTCTGAACTTGTTTACAACTGTGAGCGAAAGCACTTTTGATTTTAAGTGAGTCAAGAAATGCACGTGGCCATGTTAACGTTTTCTTGCAGCCATATTGGGTTACCTTTTATAGCCTTCAGTTAATGTAACATGACCGACCATATGGAATATCTTCGTATGATGCTGCCGTTACCATATATGCTTGATATGTCTCTCCTGGTTGTCAATTGTCATGTTGTTTACTACTGAATGTGAAAGAATTGAAAATGAAACCTCAAAGGTGACTGAATTGTGTTCTAGTGCATATTTTGATGTTTCAGATTTGCTTTGGCTTTGATTTAAATCTTTAACTCTTTTACAGTAGGAGAGAATGCGTAAGACTGCCTATTTCCGCTGGCTTTGTTTGCCCTTTGTAACTGAACTTGAGTTTAATCACCTTTTTTTTATGTTACTGCAGGTAATAAAGACATTTGGGTAAGACAATATTAACATGTTTTGAATTAAAACGCATTGGGTGTTGCTTATTTCTAAGCATAAACTGGAACATAGTGCAAAATTAGTATGTATCTCAACTTGTCTGATTTTAATTCAAATTGGTTGTGTAGTTTCCAGTGTCAATCTACTGCTTTGTGGAAAATTTTCATTTAACAGTAGACAATAGAATGTTAAAGGTTACTAAACCAATCATGTGATTTGGTAAATCCTTTCTCAGTAAAAAAAAAAATATATATATATATATATATATATGTATATATATAGATTTCTGGATTTGTAGTTTTATTATTTATTGTTGTATGTCTGCTGAATCTTGATTAGTGCATTTTGTGTCTTTATATGTAAACATATAAACATAAAAATCAGTTGGCACTGTTGCAAGGCCATCTGTGTAGATCCTTTGGATAACACAGGCACAGCTATTGTTAAGGTTTTGTTGTTTTCTGCGCATATCAGCTGACAAAGATCTTAATCACAAAACCAATAGTCAGTGCTATGCAATAAATTTAACCAGTTGCAATGCAGAATATGCGTTTGACTTGAAGACCTGCCAAACCTGGAGTGTAAAGTCCTGCACTGTGAACATAAGCATGAATATGCATGTGCATGAATATGAGCATATGTCAGTCAGGATAAGAAAAGGAAACCGGTTATTTACTGACAAGTAACTGAACAAAACAATCTTTTAAAAGGAAGTGGTTGTGGCGCTTATCTCGTGAATTCTAGACTGCGATCGGGGGAATTCTACTTTGGCGAGTCACGTGAGAGGCCTCTTTTTGAAGTGCCTCCGCTCAGTCGCGTCACGCCACGGCCAACCGCTGCCACTGCGTGTGAGCCGCTGCCTGACCGGTTCGCGGTGAAGTGACCCTCCGAAAAACTGCCCACTGTTATGATACACGAGACAACCAGGAGGGATCCGGTCGGCGCTGAGAGGTGTAAATATACACTGCCGTCAGCGGTGCTTGTTCAGAATGAATGAATAACGTCGGCGCGAGAGAGCAGAGGACAAGCAGACGTCGACAAAACGTCCAATTTCTCATCAACAACAGCAGCTGAAAGGTAAACATTATACGAGACCATTTCTGAGTTAACCGTTTTGGCCAAACGTATACAATACCTATTTTAATGACACAAACATGTCGTAATTTGACAGCGTAGAGATGTAAATGTCAGTTTAGCTGGTCGGCTAGTCAAGCTAACCAGAATGCTGATGCTGTGACAGGAACATTTCCCTAAAACCAAACATGACGTCATTATGTTCATTATTTTATCTATTTATTCATTGTTTATTCATTTAGAGCTGGCTAATGCTACATTTTGTCAAAAAGTTGCTGTTGTGTGCATCCAAAGCACTACGGTTTCAATAAACAGCAGCGTTATGATCATTGCACTGGCCAACGGGGGTTTTGCACACTGACCATTAGTGTGTGAATGGTTGCTCTTTGAAAAAGAACATTTCATTTTGTTCAAATACAGTTATTTTTCGACTCCTTAATAAGAAAACTTACAATAGTAATTACTTTCTCAAAGAAACTGTTTTGCTGTAATAACTGCTACAAACATTGAAGACTGTTTAGCAATAAGCTTATACTGTACAGTATTAGTGCGCATTAGTGCTGATAAAGACAGCTGTACTGAAACTTGTCTGAACTTGTTTACTGTGAACTGTGAGCGAAAGCACTTTTGATTTTAAGTGAGTCAAGAAATGCACGTGGCCATGTTAACGTTTTCTTGCAGCCATATTGGGTTACCTTTTATAGCCTTCAGTTAATGTAACATGACCGACCATATGGAATATCTTCGTATGATGCTGCCGTTACCATATATGCTTGATATGTCTCTCCTGGTTGTCAATTGTCATGTTGTTTACTACTGAATGTGAAAGAATTGAAAATGAAACCTCAAAGGTGACTGAATTGTGTTCTAGTGCATATTTTGATGTTTCAGATTTGCTTTGGCTTTGATTTAAATCTTTAACTCTTTTACAGTAGGAGAGAATGCGTAAGACTGCCTATTTCCGCTGGCTTTGTTTGCCCTTTGTAACTGAACTTGAGTTTAATCACCTTTTTTTTATGTTATGCAAGTGAACGACTTCTTGCTGGGCATGTTGCCTGCCTCACACCTCA